GGGGGGGGGGGGAGCCCCTTTAGGGCAGATCTTCCGTGCATGGCGTGAGTCCCGAGAGCACACAGGATGGACGCCCTGTTCAAACGCCACGAACACCTGCAGCGCCCAAAAGAGGAGTCTGGAGGCGGCTCGCCACAGAACGATGCAAGCTGCCGCTGCGTGTATTATCAATAACGCTGTCGGTTTCAGAGCTGTGTCGCTTGCAGGGCATTCGTCACTTCCTGCCGTGTATGGGAGTTGGGTGTGGCGGGATACAGTGGAAAGGGCCCTAGCTTTGCCGTTGGGTGGAGTCTGGGATCAAAGAGCTGGGCAACCCTGGGCCAGTGACTTAGCCTCTCTGAGCCCGAGTTTTCTCTTTGCAGGTGTACTTTGTACTCGTACCTGTTTCACAGGGTGGTTGAAAGAATGACCTGAGATGATGTGTGAAGGATGATTGAAACGTAGTAAAAGCCCAATAAATATTTGCGGGGAGAGTTCCTAAGGGCAAAGTCACTGTCTTTAATCCATTACAGAGCCTTAACTCAAGACATACCCCTGTTGGTGTTTGATATGTATCACCCCCTCTTCCAAATTCTACCTCCTCTGTCCTCTACTTATACTCCACTGTACACCAGGAATGCGCTGGTGAAAACTCTGAACCTAATCTTATCACTGGGAATGTTTTTTTATTTCTCTTAGGCTGATGGCAAAAATGTTTCTCGGGGCTTGCCCCTTACCTACCCTGCCACTTAACCTCCACCGTGATTCCCATCACAGATCCTTTATTCTTACCTTACTTAACCCCACCACAGGACCCTTGCACATGCTCTTGTCTCTGCCTGGAGCATTATTCCCCCTCCTGGCCTAGTGAGCCCCTCCTCGTCCTTCACAGTCATCTAGTCCATACTTCCTCAGCAAAACCCCTGCAGACCGGCCTGACCAGGTTAAATGCCCCTTTGCACTATAGCCTCTCCTTCTGGGCACTTGCTGCATTTCATTATGAGTGATTTTATATCTACCGCCTCCACCTAGACAAGCTGTCTGAAGGCAGGGACTGTGTCTGGTTTTGCTCACCAGTCGAACCTGCCCAGACCTTGTATGGAGCTCGGTAAATGTTGCTGAAAGGGTGCGTGGGAGAGTATACCGGAGGGCAGTTATAATTCATGATATGAATGAGCTATATCACGAACTATGTCATGAACGGGATTATAATTCATGATAATTAGGGTACAGTGAGTATTGTCACTGTTTTCAGATAGTGTAGCCAGAGCCCAGAAGGGGCAGGCTCATTGCGCGTAGTCACACAGCCATAGGTGGGTGGTGAATCCGTGATGAGAGCCCAGGCCTTGCCCCCCTGGGATTATGCTATAGAACCATTACCCAGACCTGGGGTGTAGTCTTTTCATCCCCTCCCTTTCCTGGTGTTCAGAGGACGCCTGGCTCTCCCTCTGTCCACCTCTCAAGCCACCTCTGATTTCCAGGATACCTAGCGCCACATCTGTATAGGACTCTGTGATCCTCCTGAATTATTCATTTAATTTAAAAACTCCCTCAAAAGCGAGCTTAACTCCTTCAAGACCAAGCTGGAGATTTTTGGTTTGTGAATGGTTGTATTGTCGAGGGCACCACACTTTGCAAATTTTAAGTGTTGTTTTCACCCTCCGCCCCCTCACCCCTGGGATGAAACAGGCCTGGAAGGAGAAGTCTTCATCAACCAGCTGGTGTGAAGTTTTTCGGGGCTCCCGTGCAGGAGATGGCTTTCCTGAGAGGAAAACAGCTTTGGGCCCTTTTATTGTCTCGTTTCTGTGAAAGTACCACACCTGTGTTCCTGTGTTGCCGTCTGTCTGCTTTATTTTTAGCCTGTCCCCTGTTGGGCACTGTTCTCACTCTTTCAGGAGCCAGTTCGCCCAGGTGTAGTCCGAAGTGGCCTTGAATTCAGAGAGGGGGTCGGGAGAGTGTCGGGTCTTCGTTCACATTTGCCAGGAAGAGCCTCATGAGTGGGAAACTTTCACTGCCTGGTTCTCTGCCTGGGGAAGAAGGCATTTGCTCACATGCCCCTGCTCGCTCATTCGACAGCTACTCACTAAGTACCATATATACATACACTGGGTACATCTCTATCTGTAATGACCACATAATTTATTTCCCAAACGAGGGCAGTATAGATGGGGAAGTGGGTGCTGCCTGCTACACCAAGTATAAACCAGTATTTTCCCAGATGAAGCAGGTGTCCATGGGTGCCCTCTCTTAATGGCTGGATTTGGACTATTAGAATCTTGGGCGATTGTGTTTTCTCAGAATACCCTAGGGCTTGAGGACCACGCTTGGATGGGATCCAGACCTCCAGAGACATGAAGGGTCAGTTTAAATCTAAGTTGAACTAGACATTTCTAAAATTTTCCCTTAATTTCCTTTTTAAAATAGTTTTTAAATATATATATATTTTTATTGATTTCAGAGAGAGGAAAGGAGAAGAGAGAGAGAGAGAGAGAGAGAGAAACATCAATGATGAGAGAGTCATTGATCGGATGCCTCCTGCACCCCCTGACGGGGGATCGAGCCCGCAACCTGGGCATGTGCCCTGACCAGGAATCGAACCCTGATCGCCTGGATCCTAGGTTGACGCTCAGCTGCTAGCCACGCCTGGCTGGGCAAAATAGTTTTCATGTTTTAAAAAAAAAAGTAGAACAACAGCTCTGTACGCCAGGGACACCACCCCAACCCCACCTCCAGTAGATTCTGAGTTCCTCTAAGATGAGGCCACCTAGAGGATCCTGGAGAAAAGTGCAGAATCTATAAAGGATGGAATTGCCCATCAAGGCTAAGTGCTGGTGACATTTTTTGAGAAAAGAGTGAAACTAAAGGAACAGAAGGGAATAGGAACAAGATGATTTATGTCTCCTTCTCTTAGAGCTCCTTTGATGTGGTTATGGTTCTATGTGTGAAAGCAAAGGACGTAAACATGCTCCCTCTTTTCCTAAGGCAGAGTGTTGGTCCTAAAAGGATGTGTTTCTCTTGCCTCCCAGGTGCCTGTCCTCAGACCCATGGACCTGATGGTGGAGGCCACCCCGCGAAGAGTATTTGCCAACGCACACACATATCACATCAACTCCATATCAGTCAACAGCGACTATGAGACCTACATGTCGGCTGATGACCTGAGGATTAACCTATGGAACTTTGAAATAACCAATCAAAGTTTTAGTATCCTTTCCTTGGGGCCAATAACCAGTTGGCTTGAATCGGGAATGTGCAGGTAAGAGCAGGCTTGGGGGAGAGGGGAAAGAAAGGAGCAGTCATAGCTAAACACCTAGCGTTTGTGGAGGACTGCTATCTTTTAAATTGCATTGGCATCTGTGACACTCTTTCATCCTAACAACGTTGGGGAAATACTGAATTACAAGTTGTGGACCAGGACGAGCTCTAGGCCGGAACTCTGAATCAATTCCTTCATGCAGATGCATTGATGTGTCCGGAATTAAAACTAGATGCGACTTTATCAACTATAAGATAAGGCCCTAGAGTTTAGTTAAGGGCTCCTTCCTCTTGCTGAAGGATTCTCCAATGGCCTCTATGGACAGCATGGACCACAAGTACGCATTACACGGCTTTTATTGTATCTGGTTGTTATTGTATCTTAGTAGTGAAAATAATCATGGCTGCCATTTATTGAGTTCTGAGCACTGCACTGGGAACTTTTTGCATAGAATCTCATTTGGAGATGTGCACATATAATATTAGAGCTTGATGGATTTTCACATACAGAGCACACTTGTGTGACCAGCATCTAGACCAAGACGCCAAACTCTATTTGCAGTCCTCAAGTCCCCCCATCACTCTTCTTTTCAGTCTCTACCCACCAAGGGTATGTTTGATATAACAACCCCACAGTGTCAGTATTATTAGCTCCAGTTTAGCTAAAATTTAGAGAAGTCAAGGAAATTTCTGAGTGAGTGTCTGAGCTAGTAATTTTACTGTGCTATATTGACCCTCTGTTTAATAATATAAATCAGACATTTATTGAGTACATATCATGTGGCCCATCCCACCACAAACCTGACGCTTCACTTGAAATCCCAATCTCAGTTAATGGTTTCACCACCCAGGCAGCTGAGCAGCTGATGTAGAAGCCAATATTCTTTTTCTCACTCACCAGCCTTCCCACCCCCAACCCAATCTACCCTTGAGCCCTACCCTTCCTTCCTCTAAAATATATCTCAAATCAACTCCCTTCTCTCCATCTCCATTCCCAGCAATCCACGCTAGAAAAGGCCACTGGTTTCTCACCTGTGTGACTACAGTAATCTGCCTGGTCTTCGTTCTTTCTTGCTATTTTACACAATACTTCTTCCCATAAAAGAGGGGACCTTTCAACATGTAATTCCGATATCATTCCTCTGCTGCTTAAAACACTAGCTTCCCACTGAACATAGAATAATATCAAAGTTCTTTGCCTTGGACTAAAGACTACACAGTCTTGGACCCTGCCTCCCTCTATGACATCCTGTCATACCACTCCACTAATTCACTCGGCTTCAGCCAACTAACCTCTCTTCTGTTCCTGGATAAATGTTGATGTTACTACATGCCTTGCATTTGCTGTCCCCTCTTTCTGGAATAGTCTTCCCCCAGAGTTCACACGGTTAACTACATGTCATCATTTAGACTTCAAGCTCATGTCACCTCCTCAGAGGCACTTCCATTAACTCCCAAGAAGTCCCCAGTAACCCTTCATCCCTGTTATCGTCATAACACTTATCACTATTTGAAACTTTATTTGTATATTTGGGGTTTCCTCATATTCAAATGTAAATTCTATGAGAAAAGTGACTTTGTACAATCCATTCCTGTATCCCAGTACCTAGAACCTTCTAACATATAGGAAGTACCATTTGGGGTGAACATGTCAAGTGTGAAGTACTAATAGGCCTTCCAAGTGGAAATATTTAGTAGATAGTTGATCATGAACTCTAACATGGAAGAATATTACTTTAAGAGGATATTACTTACTTTAAGAGGATATTCGTTAGAGTAAAGCTTTGAATGTTCTCATATAAAATAGACCCCATAAGGGCTCAAACACAGAAAAAGGTTATTTCTCTTGTAAAGTCCCCTCATCCCCATCAGCAGACTGGCTCCTCCAGTGCAGAGATCCAGGTTCCTTCCACCTTGTCATCATGTTTATCTGCGTCAGGACAGCACAGGGGGAAGGTTGTGGGGGACCACACCTGGGAGACTCCTAGGAGCCAAGCTCTAAAATAGCATGCGTTCCATTGGCTAGAAGCCAGTCACGTGGCTACCTCGAACTGCAAGGTCGGCTGGGAAATGTAGTTCAGCTATATGTGCATAGGTAAAAAAGACCTGGTTTTGGTACACGACTAGCTAGTCTGCACCACACAAAAGTGTCCAGTCTCCCTGCAAGGCTTTTCGGGGCTGGTGGTTTTAAGCAGATAGAGGCAATTTTGGAGACACTGAGAACTGACCATCAGGACGATTCCCGGCAGCTTTTGTTGCTCACAGAGCCGACTCCACATACGGTCTGAGCCTGGCAAAACCTGCCTACAGATTTTGCCTGGAAGTGCAGCTGCTAATAGAAGGAGCGTGGGTGGTGGTTCCCTTTCTCTCTCTACATCTATTCCAAGAGCCAGAAATCTGCTCAGGCTCAGCTGCTGTCACTCGGAGCTGCCGCTGTCCCCAGCCTAGGTGACATGTTTTCTGAATTTTGCCTCTAGGCCTTCAAGGGGAAGGGACATTTCTTTAGGCATTTTGGGAGACAGATGCCTTGGGGAGAATGCAGAGGGGAAATATTAATAGCACAATTTAGGTTATATTCTGCAGATGTCAGACAGCCTGCCAGATGCTAGCATACAAATGAGACTGTGTCGTTCACCCTTAAAGCAGCCGTATGTAAAATAATCATTGTCATCATGGGAGTGATGATCACTGATATCTATATAGTTATTTTCAACCAGACCTCCCTAAGCACTGAGCAGACCGTACAAACAGGGTTCCTTTTGCTTCCCATCACTGAAGTGCAGCCACCTCTGGGGTAGGAAGCGGCCAGCGTTCAAAACAGCCTCGGGGAGAACACCACCCACCAGGCACGTCCTATTAAATCACCATTTCTCCGATGCCTCGTGTTCAGGGTAGAGTGATGTGGGCTTCCCAAAGCCTGGCATGGGTACCACGGAGGTGGTAGGCACGGTCTCCTGAGCACCAGGTGGACTTTTTTTGTTTTCATAATTATGTATTTATGGTAATGAATACTAGAAAACACAGCTACCCATCCTATGACTTCCCAGGTACTGAAAATTTCATCTAAATTGTTGATGCAAAGTATGTTGATGCAAAGAAAATTATTAAGTGACTAGTAAGACGAGCGGTCTTGCGATGTGGTTTTTGAGAAAGTAATAACTTCCAGCGACCAGTGTTTGGTGTGATGTTGGAATTATGGTTGAGAACACAGGCTTCGAGTCCAACCAGCCTAAAGTTCTCACCCAGCTCTACTACTTGATGGCTGTGTAAACTTTAGCGTGTGTCTTAACCTATCCAGCCCTCTATTGCATGACATGTACAAGAGAGGAATTCTGTCAACTGGGACTGGGATAATTTCTAAGTGTTTTTTAATAGGAATTGATGGATATTGTGTATATATACACACACATACAGATAGACTGAGGGCAATACCTTGCTCAGTAAATGATCAATAAACAGGGACCAGCACAGTCCTAATTATTATAGAAAGGGCAAGGAAACTAGAAAGGTCAAGTGTTAGAATGGTGAGTTCTGCTGAATTCATTCTCTGGGTCCACTTCTCAGTTGTAGGCGTCTCCTTTGGTGACCAGGTACTTGCATGATCTCTAAGGTTCAGGGCCTTGCATTTAGCACCATATCCAAGTGAGGCATCCTTTGCCTCATGGTACCTGGTCTTGAATTCTCTCCTTTCCGTTCATCCCTGCATGGCATAACCAGCCCTGGTTTAAAGTGGTGAGACTTTGGCCCTACTGGGTTATCTACATCAGGACAATAATAACTCATTTCTAAATAAGTGATTTTCTAGAGCAAGAGGCAGCCCTAGCTTTTCAATACAGGAAAGTTGCTGTAAAAAAAGATGTTGCTTCTTTATGAAAACTATACTATACCTAGGACCCTTTGAGCTGTCTTCTGAGGACTAAGTGAGTTGCCCTGGGCTCTTCCCTAGTTCAATATGGGACCTATTGAATATACACATGTCAAGTAAAAGTAAAGAAAGCCCACAACAACTGTATTCTGAGCACCTGCTTTGCGCGCCAGGCGCTGCACTAAGCCATGGGGATAGGCAAGTGAAAAGAAACAAGCTGTCTGCTTTCAGAATGAAAGCACCCAGTAATCACACTAAGGACTATGTAATTACAAACTGAAATAAGTCCTATGAGGAAAGGGAATATGGTTCCATGGGTGCATTTTTGGAGACCTGATACAGACTAGGGAATCAGAGGAGCTTTGCTAAGGAACTGATTACGGAGTTGAGACCTGAAAGAGGAAGCGTGTGAGTTAACCTGGCAAAGAGATGTGGAGAGATTGGTTCAGCATGTACAAAGGTCCTGTGGCAGGGGGGAGCATGGTGTGTTGGAGGAACTCTAAGAAGGCCACTGTGACTAGAGGCCACACAGTGAGGTAGGCCGTGGTGTAAGCACAGCTGGAAAGGTCAGCAGAAGTCCAGTCTCTGGGCATGAGAAAGGGGATTTCTCTGGGAAAAGCCAACTGAAGTACTGCATCTTTGACCTTGGTGCTAGCAGCCCTCGGCATCAGCTTTATTTGTCAACTGAGCTGAGGCCCTTTTTGAGTTGATTCCCTGATCAAGGGACCATAAAACCTCCACTGGTGGCTTTCAGCTCTGTCACTTCGTACAAACATGGACAGCAGCCTTTTAATCCAGTGGGAATCTGCCAGCAGGCTTGGAGGAAAGCTGTAGGTAGGACCTAGTACAAATTTCTCTCCCTTGTCGCTGCTGTGCTTTCATCCACAAATGACTGGTGTTTAGTGTAAAAAACCAACATTTCTTCCAGTGACACATCCAGCACAGTGGCCTGTGTGCCAGGGCAGCCCCTCCTTCCTGTATTCAATGATGCCTTGGTGGTTCTCCCAGGCCTGGTACCTTGCTTATGTGGCTGCTGATGTTCTGTATCTGAGGCCAGACAGGGCTTTATGAGGCTGGGGATTTC